TGCTACTATTTTAAATATTATGGAATCTAGTCACTAAATGCCACTTTCAAGTGAATCAAGTCAAAACACATAGTTTAGGTGTCAAGATTTCAAACTGGCCAGCATTTTTATGCCATCCTAAAACTGCACCATCACCTTTTTCCTTCTCATCCTGCTTACCAATAGTTTATGTCCTCATCTAATTTGAAATAACTGCAGAGTGGAAAACATACTCTAAGAGCCTGGCTTTTAGCTTCGACTCACAGAAGCAAAAAGCTTATCTCCAGCTGCTTCCTCCTATTGATCCACCCTTATTGTGCTGAAATACTTCCTGAAGTCTGTAGGTGGGGATTAAAGCAAAATGTTACAACCTCTTTGGAAATCACTGTCAAGATCCTTGAAGAGGAGGTGGAATCAGCACTTTAAAACTTTTTTGCTTGTTATTCTAGTCATGCATTCCTGACTAATTCCTGAACCACAGCTACAGAGAAATTCTAGTTGGCAGCAATAAGGGAAAACCTTTAAAGGTGAGTGTGATCTGAAAATTTTACTAGGTGTTTTACAGACTTTCCATCGCTGACTCCTTCAAAGTCAGGATGAGATGGTTTTTCTCTTGTTGCAAAAAAAGAGAAAAGGAAAAAAAAAAAACAAAAAAACAACCAACAACAAAAACCCCAGTAAAAAAAAAACAACATACACAAACAAAAAACAAACAAACAAAGAAAAAACCATCAACCAAATAATGTCTTTTAAAAACGTTTTTTCCAGTATTGATGTACTTGTCCTGGACATCTTGGCCTCATCCTGTCCAGGAGATGATCCAGTCAGTCCTGTCAGTCCTCTTCGTTAATGGTAGAGGCTATACCTCAGTGCAGCTTGCAAATTGACAGTTTTGTCTTGCACCCAATATTGCTACTTCAACTAAAAAAGTAATGTGACACTATGGATTCTGCTTTACATGTATAAGTGAAAAATATTTTTATTAAAGACAAAGATGCCAAAGTTTTAATGAGATATATTGGCTGGCACAGCTAATAAAAGCAAGAACTTTTTGAGTGCACAAGTACTTTTTTTTCCTGTTAGGAGTCAATCTAATAAAAATATTATATCTCTGTCTAGAGCATGTCCTGTCATCGTGACTACAAGCACTTTAATAATGCTATTTTTAAGAAAAAGTCAATAGAGTGTCTCTGAACACACCACTGAGTATTGTCACTGGGAGCTGAAACTTCTATTTAGGCACAGGGTTGGGAAACAGTTATTTCTTTCTCTGGTTTCTAAGAGAGATTGAAGAGGTGGAAAAAACAAAAAATATGCTTTTCCTCCGACTTACTCCCAATATACCCATTTGATTCTCTTCCCTACCAGTGATAGCCCCTATTACAAAGCTCCATCTTCCAGTGATCACATACAATATATATTTCACAACTGCTACTGCCAGAACAGCTTAAAATGGCATATGACAGAGTGTATGACAAGAGAAATCTGACAGAATCGCTCCATCACTGAAGAGTCAGCCAGGACACTGAATATGAATATGGTCAACATTTTTACAGTCACTAGATGTAAGTGCAATAAACTGTAAGTGTAATAAACTGATAAATGTTTTGCAAACAACATAAATCCTGCTAGAAAAGGTTGAGTAAACCCTACCTGGGTTTTCATTTGCAGAAGTGTTGAGAAATAACAGTATAAAAGCATCTGCTTTCAAGGAGAAATAATTAAAAATTAGTTAATATAATGAAAAAAAGGGATTCTCACATATTTCCAGAATTCACAGAACATTGTAATATCACAAACGGAAATGATCATTCCAAAGTTACAAAAGAATGGTAAAGCACATTGTTTATGAGTCTTAATCACAGCACATATTATAAAAAAATAAATAAATTACTACCTCAAACTCCAGTTCACTTTGATTTGCTGTTTGATAGACTCAAATATCTTGAAAATCTGTTTCTTACATTTGGGGTTTTTTTTGCATTCTTGCATTTTGCATTTTTGCACCTGCAGAGAAGGTTAGTATACAAAAGAAGATTCTATGTCATACCAGGAGTTGCAGTCTTTACATTTAATCCTTACTATTGTAGAATCCACGATATATAGTACTGCTGTACCTCACATAAAGGCAAGAAAATCCTTGGAAAGAAATGCTGCTTTATGGTGTTTCTTCCAAACAAAAACAAATGGCAAGAATATAATACTTTATGGTCATGAATTTCTCTAAATGTGCTCAATAAGGAGATTTCATCCTTCTTCAATCAAAACAAATGGTGTAAAATTTGTCTTTTGACTCCTAAAATGAGGTATTAGTAGGACCAGTAGACATTTTTTGTACTGCAATTAATCTTTGATTAAACATTTGTACCTGTCTTACCCAGACAGGTATTAAAATCTTATTATTTTCCTGTTTTTCTTATTCTAAGCTGCATTATAGTTTCCCCTTATATTTCTCTCAGCTTCTCTTTAAATAATTTAATTTCGGCTTTTTCCTCCCACAAAGTTATATTATGCTGACATTTAATTCAAGAAAATTGATATTTCCTTATTACTGTGATGTAACAAAAAGCAGCCCTTTGATAGCAAGCACTTTAGTGTTCCATTTAGCCATATCCTCTCAGGAGTTTGTCATAGCAACATTGGATGCTATTAAATAAGTTGATTCATTGCACGGTAACTGTAATTTGAAGAACTGGCACAAATAATTATGAGTTGGCGGTGGTGCCACTCCAGTGCTGAGTTGATCACAGTAAAAGATGATGGGGATGGCATGACAACACCTCTCCAGAACAGTTTTCCATCACTATAATGCCACTACAAAAACAAGCACTTCAAAGTGCCTAGGCAGATTAATGCAGACAATACACAATCACCCTCTTGTTCTTCCAGCCTTATCCCCTCAATAAACCCCACCTTTCCAGCATGTTCTGTACCCTACTTTCTGCATATATAAGTACAGAAGTAGCTTATACACAGCAAGCAATACAGAAGCTTGTTGCTGTATTTTTATGCAGTGTTTCTGAGTCCTTCATTTCTCCTGTACTGTAAAGACTACAGCAACTCGCAAGTCTGGAGTTTTTTACTGTTTCTTTACAATATCATGTTACAGAAAAAGGTGTTAGGGTCTTTTTGGAATGATAGAATACTTCAGGTTGGAAGGGACCTTAAAGATCATCAGGTTCCAACCTCCCTGGTAATGAGCAGGGACACCTCACACTAGACCAGGCTGCACAAAGCCTCGTTCAACCTGGCCTTGAACACTTTCTGTGAGGGGGCATCAACAACCTCCCTGGGCAACCTATTCCAGTGCCTTACTACCCTCATAGAAAATAATTTCTTCCTGATGTCTAACCTAAGTCTCCCCTCTTTCAGTTTAAAACCATTACCCCTTGTACCATCACAAACCTCTAGTGAAAAGCCCCTCCCAAGCTTTCCAGTAGGCCCCTTCAGGTACTAGAAGGCAGCTATAATGTCTCTCCAATTCTCTCAGCCAATCTGCACAGCAGAGGTGCCCCAGCCCTTTGATCATCTTCATGGCCTTTCTTTGGACTCTCCCCAACAGCACCATGTTTTTCCTCTGCTGAAGACTCAAGCTGTACACAATACATTCCACCATTCATTTTTCACCTCACATCACACTTCAAAATGACTAAAGGAACAATGTGACAAAAACACCACAAAGACTTCTATGGGAATTTTAAATTTTACTAATACTTCACATTAAAAAAAATAATAATAAAAAAGCCACACATCCCAATAAAACCAAAAACCTCCCACCACCAACAGCACAAGCAACACTGAACACCACTTTGTTATTAGAGACCAAAAATCAGTCAAAATATTGTCTTCATTAATAAAAAAAATCTTAGTACAAAAGACCAGAATATTGCATTCTGTACACTTAAGAGAAAGGACAGAGAAGTAACTACACAACACCAGTAGAGTCACGTGTCGATTTAAAATTTCCCAAAACTATATTTTCAGAATTGTGATCTTTTCTGTTGTCATGTGCCATGTATTTGTTGTCTCCACCAAAACTAAGCTTCCTGAAGCAGGCACTTCATATGCTTTGGAGTTACATATAACCATGACAGCCATTAACCTATAATGAAAAGTGTTGGCTACAATGTTTGCTATTGTTAATTCATCCAGTGATAAACAAAGGTCAGGTAGGTTTAGTGACAGGACATCAAAAAGTTGCATAGATAATTCACAGAAATTCCATAATCCAGCCAAATACTTATTATTTTCAATGACCTCTGATGCATTTCAGACATACCCGGTACAATAAGCAACCTGATGTACAGCTCTGCAATGCTGAAAACCAAATGAAGCCACGATACAGTATCTTTCAAGAGCACAAATCATTAAAAAGGTTGACTTGATTAATAATATTATTGTTATTACTTCAAGTTGAACACTTTGTCATATCTAGCACATAACTAAGCGGACTGACAACAGTGAAGACTGATAGGATTAGTCACTTGAGGACAAGTAGCTCTTTAAGCAACAGCAGAGCAAGTGAGAGTAATCTAAAACAGGGCTAGGAGTATCAACTCTGATTAAGGTTCTTCTTGTGCTTGAAAGATGTCAGTGTCCATTACGATTACTACTTTCCTGTCTCTACCTTCTATTCTCTTCTCAAATACCAATGTACATACATGAGATTAGAAGTCCACCTTGGTATTTGAGGTTCAGATCTATGCACCCTGCTCAGACAAAGAGACCAAACTAATTACTGCTTCTTCATGTAATTAGGCTTCCTAAAAGCAAAGCTATTAACACACATTTTTGTAAACTTACTCCCCATAACTGGTACACAAATACTTGATGGAAAACATGTACCATATAGCAGTCCTACTCTGGACTATATATCTGAATCTTGTTTACATGACTGTGACTGCCTATAGAGCTGATATCTTAGAGGTAAAACTTAACAGTATCACCTAATACAAAGTCATTCAATACACATGGTTCTCCTAAACCTATAATATCTTACTTTGACTGTAATTTTTCTTTAACTATCCAAGTAAGTCATCAAGATCTTTAATCCTGGTAACTTCCATTAGAGAGACATCCCAAATTACAGTAACTCTGTAATGAACAAGGCAGGCCATGGACCTGTCCATTAAGTGATATCATTTAAGCTACTGACAAATATTTTGAAAACACACTTTTCCACTCTCCAGAAGGTTTTGTTTTCTTCTTGCAGCTGAGCCCAGTCATTAGGAAGGTTCCAAGCCTCTTGGAAAAACAAGTCTGTAGGTAGCATCTCAGTCAGTAAAGCCAGCATGCTGTCCTCTTCAACTGTTGGTACTGCAGAAATATATATGAGGGTTATGAGCAGAATTATCATTATATTTTCCTCAAATATATGCATCTGCCTAAGTATTTTGAAGGCATTTTTATCAGCTTTTAAAAATAAATAGGTAAAGTGCATAAATGGGTGTGCAGTGCTATAGGTAGAGAACTAAATAAATATGGCTAGCACCTGCTTAATGTGAAGCAGCATATGAATTCATTTATTAAGAGGGGAAGCTTCTATAGCCATGTACTTGCAGTATCTTTTAATTAAGTAATCAAAAAATTGCACCCCTCAGATTGTTCTGATTACAATTTGTTTAGCAACACTTCTACCAAAAAGGAAAATTGAATTACTAAGGTAAACCTCATCATTGTAAAAACAGGACTCACCTGCTTGCTGATAGTGTTTTTCTGCCAACAGCTGGTGGAGAGGGTTCACTATGGAAAAAGCTTTTTATCCACCAACACTTATCAATTAACTCAGGTAACCCTGCCAAAGGAGAAAAAGCCCACACCATTAGACACTAACTAAATAACAGGGAAAACTAGAAGGCTGTTTCAAGGAAGGAAACAATACCATGAAACGATTTGTCCTGGTCTGTAACATTCACAGCATCCGAACAGCAGGAGGAGCTGGAAGAAACGCTGGATTCCGAGTTCTGTCTTCCTGTTCATGGAAAACAAAGAGACACATCATGAAAGAAATGCTTTGAGAAAGTATGCTATTTCTATGCCAAGAATTTTTCAGGCCTACTTCTGCCTTAAAGGAAACAGCCTAAAATAGAAGTTTACTTAGCTAGAAAGCATAACCTCTCTATTATATATACACCATTCTACTACATAGTTGTTTACATAAAACATTTTACAGAAGTTCACCTCTCAGTCTACTTACTGTTCACTGAGAAGCATACCACCAAGATATATTTGCAGTAGCACTCACTGAAGTCAGTGACAAATCTGATGGAAGTGTACACACTGCTATCAAAACACAAGTTACTCTTGAATATTCAAGGTAAAACAACTTAACTGCTATACTTTCCATTGTGATACAACTAAATGCTATACTGTCACTCCAGTGTACATCCTGTACAGGGAGATCCTAACACAGCAGATGTGCTCTCAAACCAGTGATGTAGAAACATTCAGAAATAAATGTTTAGAAATAAAAACGTGTGTTGACTTTATGTTCTATCCGAGACTGCAAAGCAAATATGAAGTACTGCTAGAAGCCAGGACTTCCTGGGCTAACACTTTTTCTAGATCACATTTTATCATTAAAAATAATAATAAAAGGAATAAATTGATAATATATATCCCTAATGAATAATTCCAAATAGGAAAAAAAAAACAAACAAACAACAAAAAGTGTAGTGAATAACCAGTTGATATAATGAAAAAAACTCTCCAAGCAATTTTAATTAGTAGCAGTTTTTAAACTACCAGGCAAAGACTGGCAGTTTAAAGTGCAAGACTTCTCGGCTCCAGCTCACCGAGACTTCACCTGAAAGACTCCCCGACTTTTCCCGAGCGGCCACAGCCCGGGGGGCTCAGCCTCCCCCCTCCCGAGGAGCCCCCCTGGGGCACGGGTGGGTGGGTGGGTGATGCGGGGGCTGAGCACTTACTCCTGTAGTACTGGTTCTTAGC